AATCTGCGTTTGATTACTCCGTGGCTTTCTCAAGGAACTGGATGTGTGATGCAAAAAACAGAATTTTAGAATAGAAATTGAATTATAGAACTGAAAATGAATTTTCAGTACAACAAAATACAGTTTCAAAGCAAACAGATTCAATTTCAAACCATTAAATTCAGTTGCAATTTAGTGAGATTTATTTTCAAACCAACGGATTTGATTTCAAATTACACAAATGCCGATTCACTCTGATCAATTCAAATTCAGTATCTGATGGCACAAGTTCCTGCCCATAGTTGTGGCAGGCTTCTTGAACTGGATTGAATTCAAAAGTTATTCAGTAGATCCATTCAGTGTTTACTCTCTACAACTTTTAATAAACTTTGAAAAGTGATACATGAGAGATTTTGCTCACAAACACACAAGCTTGATTCCAATAGTTATCGTTAATATTTTGAAAAAATACCTTGCTCCATAAGTACTCAGAGTATTCTCACTATATAGTTCAGTGAGTTCTTCTTTTGACTGTTTCCTCTTCAGGGGTCCCCTCCATCTCTGTCCTCTGCTTCCTCTGTCCTCACTCCAACTACCTCCATGTCCTCTCTAACTGCATCCGTATATCTCCTCTTTGTCTTTTTCCTGACAGCTGCATTTCTACCATCCTTCTACCGATATCCCCACTGTCCCTCCTCTGGACATGTCCAAACCATCTCAGTCAGGCTAAACTAACTTTATGTGCACTTAGAGAATGTGTTAGGCAGAAAGGGTAGTTACTACCACATCAGATTACATCTTAGTATTTGTAAAATTGTTAGATCATAGGGCAGCACGGTGACACAGTTGGTAGAGCTGCCGCCTCTCAGCAAGCAGGTCGCCCCGGTTCAAATCCTGGCCAGGTGGGTGGTGGGGTGGGCATTCTGGGTGGACTTTGCATGTTCTCTCCATGTATCTGTGGGTTTTCTCCGGGTACTCCGGTTTCCTCCCACAGAGTAAAAACATGCATGTTAGGCTGATTGGTAACTCTAAATTGTCCCTAGATGTGAGTGAGAGAGTGAATGGTTGTTTGTCTCAGTGTGTTCCTGTAGTGGACTGGAGACCTGTCCAAGGTGTCCCCCGCCTCTCACACAGTGATAGCTGGACATGGACACCAGTAACCACTGAGACCCAAAAAGCAGGGCTTGATTTGAGCCAGACCCTGCCGGAACAGAATCCGGGAACTCTCTTATTTTGACAGGGTGCATTCTGGCAACTGTTTGCTTGGATCTGGCAACTCTCAGGCTTACTAATAATACAGTAATGATCAAATGCTAGTGTCTATCTTCAGGATACTCTGTGTGAGAGGCAGGGTACACCCTGCACAGGTTGGAGGCCCATCACAGGGCCATATAAAGACTAATTAGACAACCATTCACTCACTCACACCTAGGAACAATTTAGAGTTACAAATTTTCCTAACATGCATGTTTTTGATCTGTGGGAGGAAACTGCATATCCAGGAAAAAAAAAAGAAAAAAAACTTGCACAGGGAGATCTTGTAAACTTTACCCAGAAATGCTGGAGGACAAATCTACAACCAGCACACTGTGAAGGCACAGCTCTACCAATAGTGCCACCATGCTTCCACAAAACCTACCAACTCATTCATGACATATTTTATTAATACGACAAACACTAACAGACATGAGTATAAACATGGCTGCCCTTGTGCCTTCAATAGAAGTGATAAAAAAGAAAAGGATGGATTCCTTCTACAATGCATTTGAAGTCCCAAACTGTCGTTGACAGTGTGTCCTCCAGTGCTGGTGGACTTTATTCTTCCCGGCTGTCATTACATTAGCCACACGGCTCCCCTGCTCTGCATGGAGAAAGCTCTGCTTTTCACATTCATTCTGTAAATGCCTAATGCTCTCCTTCCTAATCCTCCGTTTTCACGATTGTTTTCACGGCCCTTTCAGAACGAGGGAAAGGGACGTCGGGAGGATTTTCTACAATTCCTGGGTTGCCGTGGTAGCCAGGCTCAGGTGGTGCTTGAGTAAATTGAAACAGCGTGAGGGATAAGCTTGAGTGTCTGTGTGTGTGTGTGTGTCTGTGTGAGACACAAAGATGGGCAGAGAGAGGCTGTTCAAGGATTTGCTGAATTTGCGCCCTAGCTGAGATAAAAACGCGTAGCCCCGCTCACTGTAGGTTAACGCGATCTCCCACCTAATGCACTGCACCACCATCTGCGTGAGAGTTTGCGTGGTGGTCCTACTGATTTTATATGAGTAATCCAAATTATTTCCTGTTACAGATTCGTGCCCCGTGTTGTGCAGCGGGAATGGTCTGTATGAAAAAGGAAGGTGTGTGTGCCTCGAAGGGTGGAAGGGGGCAGAGTGTAACGTAGAGGAAGGGCAATGTATCGATCCCACCTGCTCCAACCACGGCACCTGCATCCAGGGTATCTGCATCTGTAGTCCAGCCTATAAGGGGGTCAACTGCGAACAAGGTAAATCTTATTTTTAATAAGCTAGCATCAAAAAATAAAATAAATCACTAATCAATACCATGACAATAATAATCAGCTACTGTGAGTGAGTTGAAGGATGTTCTTAGCCCTGACTATGCCAGCTCTGCTACAGAGTATTGTGACTAAATTAAATCTGTTAAAACTTCCAATTAAAACTTCAGCAGTTTATCTTCACCAAGTTTAAATCTGGGATTTAGTTGCTGACATGTGATCAGCTGATTAGGTTTTATTACAAGACAGTAAAAAGGTGCACGTAACAAAGTGGCCAGTAGGTGTAAATTCTAATTTAAACCATTACAAAGTGTAACATGGCTCAACATTGTTGGGGATTGTGTTTTCAGAAGAAAAAAAAAACAAAAAACTATGTAACTTGTAGTTCACAGGCACATTTATTCTGAAATAAATATTAGAGTTGGCTAATAACCTAGCCTTTGTTTAATAATATGTGGGAAGAAACAGGAACACCCAGAGAACACAACTGCCGAGAAAAATAACTTGCAATTTTCACACAGAAAGGCCACAGCTGCAGTCACTTCAATTCAGTTAATTTATATAGTGCCAAGTCCCAACAGGAGTTAATCTCAGGGCACTGAACAAATACATTTGTATACATAAAAATTCAATTAGTAACATTGTTGATCTAAAATAGGGTAGACAGCAGATTGCAATGAGTCTTCATTTCGTCACAGTCTCCCATCCTGAGCAAGCATGAAGGCAACAGTGGAAAGAAAAAACTCCCTCATGAGGAAGAAACCTCAACCAGAACCAGACTCAGGACAAGCGACCATCTGCTTCAACCAACTGGGTTTGAGAGAACAGGAAGAAAAATGGCAGGTCCAGAATGGAGGCGAGCAGGTCACTCACTAGGAGGAAAGACAAAAAACAGCAACACATGTTAAAATAAAAAAAATTACAAATGCAAACTATTAATTTATATTCATTTGTAACTATTCATTTGATGAAATTAGGTCAATATGTCCTATAGTAGTCTAAGCCTATAGCGGCATAGGATAGGGGATAAGTCAGGAAACCAAGCCGACCCTAACTATAGGATTTATCAAAAAAGAAAGTTTTAAGCCCAGTTTTAAAACTGGACAATATGTCTTGGTTCCACAAGAGAGGAGCCTGAAAACTGAAAGATCTTCCTCCCATTCTGCTTTTGGAAACTAGGGACCGCGCGTAAGCCAAAAGTCTGAGAACGAAGAATTCTGTTAGGAAAATATGGAACAACAAGATCTCGAATATAAGATCGAGCTAGGTTGTTGAGGGCTTTGTAGGTTAGAAGTAATATTTTGAAATCTATTCTGGATTTGACAGGGAGCCAATGGAGAGAAGCTAAAACTGGAGAGAGATGATCTCTCCTTTAACTCCAGTTAAGACTCTGGCAGCAGCATTTTGGATCAACTGAAGACTTTTTCAAGAAGTATTTGGACACCCAGATAATAAACCATTACAATAGTCCAGTCTAGACGTGACAAATGCATGAACCAGTTTTTCTGCATCATTTTTAGATAAGATGTTTCTAATTTTAGTGATATTACGCAGGTGGAAGAAGGAGGTTCTAGTAACATTTTTAATGTAGGGGATAAAAGACACGTCCTGATCAAAAATAACACCAAGATTTTTGACATTAGAGCTGAAGGCCAGATTAATGCCATCTAAGGAGGGAGAAAGACTGAAAAATTTTATCTTAAGATGCTCAGGTCCAAAAACTAAAACATCAGTCTTGTTTGTGTTCAACAGCAGAAAATTTAGAGTCATCCAGGTTTTTATGTCTTTAAGACATGCTTGTAGTCTAAGTAGCTGATTGGATTCATTGAGTCAAACCCACAGTGAAATAACAAGAATCAGAAACACAATTTAAAACTATCGGATCCAGTTAATTATTTAACACCAGTTTGCACCTATCCTGACCGTGCACAGAGTGGACATGATCCTTGTTGCTTTTTAAACCAATAATCCAGAGTTTTCGAGTTCTTAGTTGGAAAAATAATGGAGGTGGTGCTTTTTCCACGCTCTCTAAATATATTTTTTGTCAAATTGATAAAAATGGTAGTGAGCCTGGTCAGTAAACAAATCCAATTTCCTTCTAGACTACAGTTGACTCTAGTGTGACTAAAAAAGATTTGTCACGCCTGAAACAAATTAAATGCAGCATCAGTCCCATGTCCTTTTAACCAAGGCATAAATCTGGAAATGAAAAGCTAAAGCAACATGTCCCCTATGTCAAACATCCCTATAAATTACCCAAAACAAACAATGTAATGATAATGAAAACAACCACAATATTAAACTTGATTAAAAGCTGCTGGCCCAGCTGTTATCGGCCATCGTTTTGCTGGTACCTACAGAACTGTCTCCCGTAAAGATGGATTCAGGTGTGTGACCTTCAGCGACTGAGCCGAGCTGAGTTAAGCCAAACTCTGCTGAGCTTTGGCTCTATGCTCAAGGCTGTAATTACACACACTAACATGGCATAGCATAGACCACCCTGACACACACACACACATGCACGCGCACATCATTTCAGCTCTTTTGATAGCTTCAGCTCTAAGTGTCCTATGAAGTGTAATGTTGTGGAACAGATACAGGGATTGTAGTTGGGGTGGTTAACTCCTGGATGGGATGCAAAGAACACTGCTTTCACACTTGGTGAACTGATGATTATAATGAGATGGTCTTCACCCACTATCAGCACCACCACCCCCTTTCTTTCACCTCTGACTCACTCCAGCTCTCCTCCTCCCTCTGTCTGCAGTGGACTGTATAGACCCTCAATGTGGCGGGCACGGTGTGTGTGTGCGAGGGGAGTGCGTGTGCTCGGCGGGATGGGCCGGCGTCAGCTGCGATGACTCTCTGCCAGCCTGTCAAGAGCAGTGTTCGGGACATGGCACCTATCTCCCAGAGTCAGACACTTGTGCCTGCCAGCCCAACTGGACAGGACCAGACTGCTACACTGGTAAGACATGAGGATTTACCCGCCACATTCAGAAAGAAAATGAAGGAAAATTGAAAATGCATTTCACTAGTTTGTTAATGTTCTTCAAGCATGTGTGCGGTCCTGCAGATAATACCTCCGGAGGATATGACAGACACGAGAGGGATTTATGATGTTGTGTGTGTGTGTGTGTGTTCCACCCACTCTTCATGCCATTTTATAAATGAGATTTCCTCTCCTGACTCTTTGACTGCAGCCTTCTGAAGTACACTTGTGCACCAGGACTCACTTCACTTTGCATTCACACTGTAACACACACTATAAGCTCACAAACACATCTACACACCATTTGGACACAATTTTTTTCTTCAGCAAAGAAAGAGAGAGGGAAAAATACTCGTCTCTAACGTTGCTACCAGCCCTGTCAGATTTTCTAGCTTCTCAAAACACTCAGCTCGGCATTTAAAATTAACCAGTGTTTATTCCTTTTTACCTGAATATTAGTGGTTGTTAAATTTAACTGCAGAAGCTGCTGTACAACTATAACTACTTGTTTTTTTCTGCCTGTTGAGAAAAAAAAATCAGCTCTATGTGGAGAAAAGGCTCGAAGGTAACCATTGTGCCAAAGCTGCCTGAGTTTGTGCACTGGAGTGTCTGAAATATACAATGCAGCGTGGTGTCCTTGTCTTTGCAATGAAAGCTGAAAGAGAGGAAAATAGTCATCATCAGAACAGTTTTTTCCTCTCCTGTCGTACCTAGCTACAGCTATGGAACAAAGAAAGTAAATGCTTTTTCAATAGGATGTTATGTATCAGGACATGTTTAAATGATTTAATCTTTATATGAAATTGTAATAATCTAATCTGTAGTTTGCAAAAAAACACACCAGTTTACAACATATCACCATTTATTAAACACAAATTAAGTTAAAATCCAAAAGCTTTATGATAAACTGAGTCCATCTCATGTTTTTTTAGCTTTCAGAATCACCTTAAGTAACAACCATCAACATATATTATAACTAGATGCAGAACCAGAAGCTGGAAGCCGAAGCCACAAAGGATGAGGGGCCCCTAGTTGCACGCTCCAGTACGTTTTAATCCCTGACCATCCATAAATGAATGGGACATTTTTCTTTCTTAAAAAGTAAAAAAAATAAAATAAAATAAAACAAAGATAGTTTTTATCTAGATGTTGCTATTTGTTGACTCAAATAGCTATTACCTTGCTGTTGTATGTTCAAATATGCACTTTTCATGCATTTACTTTCAAGTAATTATTTGAGGCTTAAAAATGTGTCATGATATAATATACCAAACCATTCCACTTTATTTATAAATTACTTAAAACAGCAACAAGGCCAACCAACGTGCTGTACAGCAAAAACAAAACAAGAAAAGGACAAAATAAAATGCATTGATCCACAAAGATAGGAACTAAATGACTAACATTGTAGAACACAGACAAGTTAACATCAGCTCACAGTGTCAAAAACCAGGGAATAAAAGTGAGTTTTTAAACAAGACTTAAAAACCGTAAGAGAGGGAGCCTGCCTGACATGTGGTAACTCATTCTACTGTTTTGGAGCTGCAACAGAGAAGACCCTGTCACCTCTGAGCTTAAAACGAGTGCCTGGAACCAATAAAAGCATCTGGTCTGTTGACTTCAATGCACCCTCATACCTCTCTGACCTCCTTCATCCTTATACTCCTTCTCAGGCCTTGAGATCATCAGACCAGCTGCTTTTGGCCGTACCAAAAACCAGGCTGAAGCTCAGAGGAGATTGGGCGTTTTCAGTCATGGGCCCTAAACTTTGGAATAATCTGCCCATCAACATTTGACAGGCCACCTCAGTCTCTATTTTTAAATCTCTCCTCAAAACACATCTGTACTCATTGGCATTTAACACAGTGTGATCTCATTTGATATTTTCTTGTTGATGATTGTGTTCATCCATTTTGCTTTTACTCCCTGACATTTAACGCAGGGTGATTTGATTTAGTATTTCATTGTTTCTCATTATATTTCATGTTTTTATGCTTTTATTCATGTTGCTGTAATATGTTGTTATTAGTATCTGATGCTGTGATCTTTTTTGGTAAGCACTTTGATAACAGTTACTGTTTTAAATGTGCTATATAAATACATGTGACTTGACTTGACTTCAATGAGCTGTGGGACATATGGCTGCAGCAGATCAGTGAGATATGAGGTGGTAGAACTATGAAGAGATTTAAAAACACACAAAGGGATTTTAAAATGAATTCAAAAGTGAACTGGGAGCCAGTGAAGGGAGGCCAGAACTGGAGTAATGTGCTCTATTTTTCCCCGTACCAGTTAAAAATCAGGCTGCAGCATTTTGAACCAGCAGTAAACATGCAATAGAGGTCTGACTGCTTCCTACGATATGTTGGCAAATAGGGAGCAGGTATTTTGTATTGAGAGTAGAGAAGCTGGGTCTAAAAATATATAACATAGCAATGCCCCAAAACAAAGATTTTGGCTTTAACATTGGACAATAGACGTTAATGGAGTTATTTTGACAAACTTTGTTTATGTTGATGGTCTCAACACAATTTTACCAATCTAGCTTAGACCAGTTATTGCGGCACCAAACCTTGGGTTGTGCAGCCAAACCATTTTTTACAATAACATAAGGTGCGTTCTTAAACAAGATATAAAAATGTCAGTTTTGTTGACCCAGTTTGGTCCAGTTTTCAGCTACCAGTCAGATAGTCTCACACTCTAGAATATTTTCATGGATGTAAGTTCCCTGTTGCTGTGACGGATTCCCATCATCTGTAAAAATTAAGAAAAAGTGTTTCATTGCAATCTTTTTTAAAGCCATCTAATCTAGTAATGATACAGGGATTAAATTGCATCATTATTCTGCATCTGCACCGGACCTGTTTTAGACCTTAGCTGCTGGTATTGTTATATTCTCTGTTATTTTTTTATACATCTTGTGTGATTCCTTGTGTATGTTCCTTTGTACTGAAACTCTGGCACAACAATTTCCTGCGGGATCAATAAAGTTATATCTTATCTTAAACTGATGCTATTTTCGACCAATAAATACAACTAGGGCCACAGTTTGAGCCAATCAGAGAAGAGCAGGGCGGGGCCTGCTGTCTGGTTCATGGTAAGCACAGATTTGAGCAGCAGAGATAAACTAAACTGAGGAAACACCGCTACTTTGACATAACCGCTCGTCCCTCCATGAAGGTTATGACATTTGATAAATTATTCAACGTCTACGTATTCGCACGTGACCAATTCACTGCAGCCGGGGGAGATTCCAGAACTGATACACCTTCACACCACCCTCTCCTTCCGCACCACGCCTTAACCTTCCAGGACTTCTGTATCTAAAATCTTTTTTTTTTTTTGACGGCCTCCCTTCTCCCCTTACAGCCATCCTCTCCTCACCATTATTATGAAATATTTATTCTAGTGACTATCTAGTGTAGGTTTTTTTTTTATTTTTATTTTTTTTTATAATAGGATAGAAAGAAGGAAAAGACAAAGTAAGACTCCAAAATATAAGAAATATACACAAAGAGAGCACACGGCAAAACACCCGGCCACTGTCTGTTCACCTGCAAAGAACATGACAAAACACAGCAACAAAATACATATGTATAAAGAACTTAAAATATTCATGGCTTTGCAGTAAGTTTCCATAAATATATATGCCCATACCTACGCCTATATACATACATACATACACATGAATATACACTCACATACATATCTATATATCTACATATAAAGCCTACATAAGCATCCCTGCTTCTATTTGTGTGTGGTTGTGAGCATGCATAAGTGTATAAGGCTTCTCTAATAGAACATTTATTAGTAACTGTGAAGCAGCAGAGACCCGACCCCCAAGACCAGGGGCAGACGAAAAAAGGGGGGATCAGAGCCCAAGACCCCAGGAGGGACCCCGACCACGGAGCTCCCAGGCCCACCCACACAGGACGAACCACTCGCCCACCCCCCAGATCGGACCACAGGGGAGAGCCGGAAGAACCCCACCAGCGACCACATACAGTGACCCCCCGGGGCCAACAGCGACGAACTCATAGGCCCCCGCCGGAACCCGCCGCACCGATGCAGGTCCAGGCCCGGGCACGGAGGCCCGGGCACCGAGGACCCACACCACCCAGGCCAAGGCCTGACAGGGCCAGAGGACCCGAGCCCCACCAGGCAGACACCAGGCCGAGCCGACACACGCCCAAGCGCCCAGCCCCCGACTCCAAGGGCCCCAAGCGCGCCGGCAGGCAAGGGCACACCCCACCAGGGGGCCGCGCGATAGGGGCGCGATGCCAAGCACCCGCAGTTGTATCAAAGAGGGGGCAGTCCGAGTCTCGGCCTAACAAATACCCATTCATACACAGACACAATCACACAATCCCAACCTCAGTCTCACATTCACTCACTCAAAGACATACAATAACGATACATTTCATTCTTATTCCCGATACGCACTCTATACCCCCCAGGTCCAAGACATGTACCCGCCCTCTACAGGGGGCAGCCCATGCCCAAACCCAGGAGGTAAACCCATTCATTCTCGAGCGGAGAAGAGCCAATATCCCAGACCCGGCCCAGGCCACACCCAGCCGACAGGACACCCCCCACCATGAAGAGGACACGCCACCGACCACCCCCACACACTGCCAACAACCAAGCACGCGCCCCCAGCCGACCGCCCGCCAGGCCCCGGCAGTTCTGTATCTAAAATCTAACTACAGTATATATCAATGTGTTCGGAGTGTCATCATCGCACAGACATGTGCAACCTGCACGCGTGCCCGGTCTCCGGTTCACACATGTACCGCCGCGGGAATGCGCAGTCTGTTTGTGTCTCATGGTGAGACTGTTTCTGCTGCGTTAGTTTATCTAATTAAATGTTAAGGCTAAAAGACAAATAGTTATGTGCCCCAGATTTTAACAAAGATGTGTGTCTCTACTTAACAAGATGTTTTACCTCAAACCTATAAAGTTGTCTCAGTGAGAGTCAGTTTCAAGTGTTTGTATCATAAATATCTGTAAAATTCAATTCTACACTTTGTTTTAGCAACAACAAGGTGTTGTGGCTGTTTGGATGTGCTAAACTTCATTATATTTAGAACCATGGGTAACTGTACTGTGATAACCAAAAATAGTCCATGCTCAATAATCCAGGTATACAATCCAACAATTTTCAGTCAGGTCATCTGGACTGTGATAAATGTGATTTAATAAATGATCACATATGAAAAATAAATATTATTAAATGACTACATGAGCTGAAATTCTGTAAATGTATTCCCTTTGAATGAAATAATCATTTTAGGGGAGAAATCTGTCCGTCTAGAAATAAAGAAAAAATGTATATTGAGTTATCCTCTTCAAAGGACTATCTGTAATATTCAATTCAACCTTTATTTCTACAGGTTAGTTTCATTGAGCCACGAGGACTCATTTACAGAGAGACCTGTTTTAAACAAAGAACACAGATAACAACAGTAGACAATCATAAAAGCATATAAAATGAAAAGTAAATAGAAGATATTATATTTAAAAAAGAAATAAAAACATCTACATTATAAAACGATATAAAATACTAAAAACGGGAACATGTCTGCATTGGTTTTTGCCATGAACTTAGCAGATGTTTAAAGTCACTTAGAGAGGTCAAGGTTGAGAGCTTCAGATCTTTTTGCAAGATATTCCAGGAAACGAGCGAAGTTGGAGAAGGCCCTTTTGCCTACTTCAGTCTGCACTGAGGGAACGCTGCAGGTAATAATGTCCTGAGAGCGCACGCTGTAGCTGCACTCATGCAATGACATGTAGGAGGAGATGTATGAAGGCAACAGACCAAAAAGTGTCTATTATGTTTTAAAATATATCTGACGACCCCTCTAAAAGTAAACTACAGAAAAGTAGTTAAAACCATATTTTACTTCAGGAAAGGTTGGTCTTGATTGTGCTTCATTAAAGAACACTATACAGTACATGTACTGTGTACTTTTACTAAGGTCATTTAGACAGTATACTGTGTCAAGTCAAGTCAAGTCAGATTTATTTATAGAGCACATTTAAAACAGAAACTGTTACCAAAGTGCTTCACAAAAATATCACATCATCTAATAAAAAGTAGCAAGATATATTTACAGCACATGGAATAAAAATATAAAACCAAAAACAATTAGAAACAATGAAATACTAAATCAGATCGCGTTGTGTCAAAAGTCAAGGAAATAATAACAAAAAGCATAAACTCAGTGTGTTCTTTTACAAAGGTCATGTACACATAATACTGTGTACTTTTACTAAGGTTATGTATGCAGTATACTCCTCTTTACATTCAATTAAATTCAGTTTATTTATATAGCGCCAAGTCACAACAGAAGTCATCTCGGGGCACTGAACAGAAACATTCATATATAAAAATAATAAGTTAACAAAAACATTCATAAAAAATAATATTCTAACACTATTTATCTGAGGAGAAGACTGCTTTGACTTTAACTCCATCACAGACTCTCATCTTGAGCAAGCATGAAGACGAAAGTGGAAATGAAAAATTCCTTCATGAGGAAGAAACCTTTAGCAGAACCAGACTCAGGACAAGCGACAATCTGCTTCGACCGGCTGGGTTTGAGAGGAACAGATACATAATGGCAGGTCAATAATCATGTTAATATAGAAATAGTATCAAATGAGAACTATTCAGTTTTAACAATTAATTTAAGGAAATGAGGTCAATTTGTCCTCTAGTAGTCTAAGCCTATAGGAGCATAACAAGTCAACTCTAACTATAGGATTTATCAAAAAGGAAAGTCGTCAGCCCAGTCTTAAAACTGGACAATGTGTCAGCCTCATGGACAGAAACTGGAAGTTGGTTCCACAAGAGAGGAGCCTGATAACTGAAAGATCTTCCTCCTATTCTGCTTTTGGAAATTCTAGGAAACGCAAGTAAACCTGCAGCCTGAGAGCAAATTGCTCTGTTAGGAAAATATGGAACAATAAGATATCAAATAAAAGATGTAGCTAGGTTGTTGAGAGCTTTGTAGGTTAGAAGTAAGATTTTGAATTCAGTTCTGGATTTGACAAGGAGCCAGTGAAGAGAAACTGAAACTGGAGAGATATGATCTCTCCCACTAACTCCAGTTATGACTCTGGCAGCAACATTTTGGATTAATTGAAGACTTTTTAAAGAATTATTTGGACACTCAGATAATAAATCATTTTGATAGTCCGGTCTAGTCATGACAAATGCATGAACCAATTTTTCTGCATCATTTTGGATAAGATGTTTCTAATTTTAGCAATACTACGCAGGCGGAAGAAGGCTGTTCCAGTAACATGTGGGGAATCAAAGACATGTCCTGATCAAAAATAACACTAATTCCTAAAATGCTCAAGTCCAAAAACCTCAGTCTCATCTGTATTCAAAAGCAGAAAATTTAGGGTCATCAGTGTTTTCTGATAAGCACCTGCTAAGGTGAAATTTACTCTCGATGACTGTTTAGTCCTTTAATGTAAATGTTAATAGTCCTTTAATGTAAACTTACTTACAAACGTACACGGAAACCTTTGAGAAGTGACCTGTATGCAGGAAAAAGCTCTTGGATGTTTGTGTGTGTGTGTGTGTGTGTGTGTGGGGGGGGGGGGGTAATCTCTTAAATATAGAAGTTTTCAGTCCAAAGTTTTTTAATGCTTCAATCCATGTATTTTGATATGTGGAGGAGTTCAGTGTCGACTTCATGACTGCAAGGTGCTCAGGTCCGGTGGTGTCAAACCAAGACCAAATAATCCACTCCACCACCATGCTGACAATTGGCATGTGGTGTCGTTTAGTTCTCTCCAAACGTGGTGCTGTGAAATGTGGATGAGCATCTCTACTTTTGTCTCATCTCATTTGTCTAAACCACATTGTTCTGGATGTCGTACTTGATAAAGACCAAACCATTTTATAAAGTCCTGACGTACAACTGTAAAATGGGAAGCGTGTGGACTGTGTCCAGTGGAGCGTGTCCACTGCAGCACTCTGTCCTTGTCCTTGCAGTCAGCTCTAAGAGAGGAAAATATCCATTATGAAAGTGGCTTTTTTTTTTCTCCTTTCATTGCATTTGCTGCAGTTGTGAAGGAGTCTCTTCACCATGAACACCAAAGATTTGCAGGACCACTCTCTGATGCATGCATACCTTCATTATGGGGATACCGCTCATGATAATGATGAAGCGTGATTGAGTAGCTGAGAAATGAGCCTCCTCCCTTCTACCTGCCGGCCTTTTAATGAAATAGAACCCGACAATTCTTTGTCCTGCAGTCTTGTTGAGGCATAGCTAAGTTAATGTAATTCTAATAGAGTGCTGAAAAACTCTCCAAGTCAAATTCACTTTTTTACTACCTCTCCATGCTATGTATATTTAAATTGAAATAACTTTTTACTGCAGCTGGATAAGTAGGATCCGTGTGCCTCCAGCACTTTGCTCGCTTTACTGATAGATGAGGCTTTGCTTCTGCAGAGCGAGTGAGAGTCAGATGGTGATGAGAGCAGGGAGAGAAGGAAACATACAAGGGGGAAAGAAAGAACTTTAAAGGCATGTTGCAAAAGAGAGGACAGGAAACAAAAGCAGGGAAAAGAAAGCTAACACAATGAAGAGAGATGTAAAGGAAAAAGTATTAACTTGCCAACTAAATTTGATCAAAATGTCAGAGAAGAATAATAGAGCTGAACTGGAGTCCCAGCAGTTTTAAAATATGGCAAATACAAATCATTTGGCTTTTATTTGGAGTTGATTCCCTCGTCCTTCTTAAGGGAGCTGAGCTATTAGAGGAGGGCTGACTGTGTATTGTGAAAAGTTTGTTTTTTTCATCTGAGGTTATCCCACTCACTCATTGTTTTTTTTAACTCTCTCAACTATATACAATGGCTCGCCCCAGTTCTGATTATTAAACTTATTTTTTCTCTTTCCTGTGTCCCCTGTGCCTCTTTTAACTTAGTTTTCCTTGCAGCGCTCAGTTGCTCCATCTGTTCCCCACCCTCTCATTCTTCTCGTCCTCTCACACTTACATGCTTTTTTCCCCCCTCACGCATGTCTCTGCCCACCTGTTCAACAGAGCTGTGCCTGGTGCCATGTGGCAGCCATGGCGTTTGCTCAGAGGGCCAGTGCCAGTGCGAAGAGGGCTGGATCGGTGCCGCGTGTGACCAGAGAGCATGCCATCCTCGCTGTGAAGAGCATGGCCAGTGCCACGACGGTACCTGCATCTGCCAGCCTGGCTGGGAGGGGGAGCACTGTAACATTGGTGAGTTACGTGCTGGTGAACGTGGAAGTGTTTATTTGTGTCCTCTTATATTTGAAATAAAATTCTCTTATGCAAATCTTCCTTTTTTCCCAGTTACGCATGATTTAGACGTTGTGGTAAAAGGTAACTTATTTTTCTTGAGTATTTAAATATTTTTGAGACCTCAGTGCTGTGACTTGTAAATGACCCAAATTTGTGTGTGTTGTACACGTGCATGCGCACGTGCTCGTATGTGGGACATCAGACGGCTGCCCTGGGTTGTGCAGTGGCCACGGACGTTGTACTCTGGAGCAGAGTGGCTGGCGCTGCATCTGCCAAGCTGGATGGAGTGGGCCTGGGTGCAGCGTTGTCATGGAAACTGACTGCAGTGATGGAACTGACAATGACGGAGGTGACATTTTACATCATCTATCACATTATATCTTTTTTTTCTGTCTTTCTTACCTCTCTGAGCCCTCTCTTTTTGGCACATTGTCCCTTCCGTTTCATTAATTCTCATCTTGATACTTCAGCTAAAATATCTTCCTGATAATTCCTCCTATTCTTTGCTCTGTGTTGGCCTAGTCCTGCTGTGACTCCTGTAGCATCCTGCTGCCTATTATTACAGCATAATGAATATGTATTTGTGTGTGTGTCTTCATTTGTGCCGCTGATTTTCCTTCTATCCCAGCTAAATGTCTGATATGCATACCACCTGCAAGGATAAAAGGCACTTAGAAAAGTTTTCAAGCCTAAATAGAGGAAAAATATTTCAGGGCTTTTGGTGCTGAAGTGTCTCATAACCAAAGAAGGTGGGCGTGTGTGTCTCTTAGCCATGTACTGTGGTATTACAATAATTTCCAGGCCATTTTAGTCCCGTCTACTGTGCTTCTCCAAGACATGACCAATTTTTATTTAGCACGATATTACGTTGCTTTCAACTTTGCCCCATTCTCTTTGAAACTCCATCAAATATCCATTATAGACGTGACTGTTAAGGTGGAGCTGTAATCCATCACAGCAAACAAGGTAGTGTTGCCTTTGTTTGCAGGGAAGGCTTGTTGGGATTGCGTGTGTCTGTGCACGTGTGTGTGTGGTTCCATATTTTTGTCGAGAGATGTTTGGATCTGCAGCAGCAGGAAACCTCAAACAGGGTTTTCTGATGGCGCAGGCTTCTGATGGCTACAAAGTAATCTTTTTTTCCTTCACATTGTTTACCAAAGCAGCGTGACTCACTCAGTCAGCACTCTAAAGTGTCAGCGTTGATGGCTGTTAAAACATGAGTCATTATTCGGGATTACAACCATACAGGCATGCAAGGAAACACAGCGTTTGGGCTGTAAAATAGGAGCCGAGCATTGAAAACAATTCATAGCATGAGTTTCAGCTCTGTCAGAGTTGGCACTGTTAGTTACCTTTCTTTGTTGTGTTAATGAATTATGCTTTTTTGTGTGTGTGTGCTATTTTCATTGCAATGCTTGTTAATTCAGTTGTACAATCATATGCTGTATAGTTTTGTCACAGTCTTAACTGACATTTCTCCACTAAATGTCACTGATTAGCAAGGATTAGACCTTAACAATGTGCGATTGGAGGTTTAATCAGAGACAAAGGGAGGCGGAGGTTATGGATGGATTTGATAGATGAGGCTCATCAGATGAGTCTGAGATCTGGTGGTTAGGAACAACATGTTGGAGGTGGTGTTCAATCTCAGCTGGTTCAATGACCTGCCCAACTTAGAACCCCCTTTAGCTGGTCCCTGCATCAGAAAAGTAGAAATAGAAAGGAAAAGACATGAAGAAGAATCAGAAAGTGAAGGTAATAAGGATGAAGGATGAAAGTTTTGAACAAAATGGAAGGATGACAGATTGGATTGTAATCGGATCCAGTTGAACTGTGTTGGAATGAATTTGGCGAAATTAGACAGAATGAAATTGGATCTAAATTGCACCTAGAGATGATTTTCGTTGTGAACTGGCTCTGTGCAAAATGAAAGAATTTGAACTGAATGAGTGCGATGAGAAGGGATGAGGTTAAGCCTGTATCGCACTGGGCGGTGACTGCTGGCATCTAGTCGGACACACAAAATTTAGAGATATGCAGTTTTTTTTACTTAGAATTACACTTGATTAGATCTTACACATTTGCATGTTTACAAACTGCCAATAAATTAGGACAATTGTTCAAATATTTAAAAAAAATGTTGTTGTTGCAGTTTAGCCTCTAAGTTTTAAATAATGTCTCAGTTTGACTGCAGTTTGTTCTTTTGTTTCCAGTCAGTCACAATTCAGATAGATTTCCAAACCTTCCCAAAACTGTCTCACATTTTCCACATTTTCTCACCTACAGTATGTAAACTCAACTGAGAATGGATCTGTAACTATTTTCAACTTTTTTTTTTTTTTTTTAATTTGTGCAATTTTTTTGGAATATGTTCAAGATTTCAGCAACAAAAGAGTGAAGCCTTTCAACCCATGCAAGTAAATTTAGAACCCTCGTAAATTTTTCAAGACTCTTTGGAACTCTCTTTCTAATACTGCAACAATGTGTCACACAAAAGACCAGTAAGCAACATGATTTAAAGGAAATAGTTTATTTAATAAATTATTTTATAAAATAAAAAAATAAAAAAAATAACGTTGGGTGATTGAAGGTGTGGTTGAGGTGTGGCCGTGTTTTCAAACCAAAAATAAGAGATATTTTCGTATTGTTTGATTATACTTTAATCTACTCATATTGTGCAACAGAGATGTAGTGACATATGTATTCATACCAATATGTGTGCAGTTATGTGTGTACAGTCAGGCAAAGAATATAATTGTCATATCCAATCACAACTTCCATCCAGTCAATGATGAATGTTTTGCACTTTTGCCAACTGCTATGACAGAAAATAAGATGATGGTACGATCTAAAGCACTCTACACCAAAGCAAAACCAGAATTTCTAATTTAAAATTAAAACAGAAACTTTAAGATTTACTTT